AAAGAAGTATTTATAAATTTTCTATCACTTGTCTTTAACCCTAGTGTGGGAGAGAGGTTGAGATTGCGTGAAACGAAACTCTATTGTTTTGCATCAAATTGTGTTGCGGTGAGTGTCACTTTCATATATACACAAAGGGCTTTTACTTTCACATGTGCCTAGAGCCAATGGAATGGTTGTTTGAAAGAACCATGGCATTTCCATCTTGCCTTTCCCCACCACTATGTATGTAATAATTATATAGATCAACTTTCCAAATAAAGAGAAAAATATATTTATGATGGGTACTGCTGTTTTTTCTTTTCTTTTCTTTTTCCTGATTCAATGCTTCTGGTTTTGGTACGAGCCCCATTTGGCCCACTTGCTTCATCGTATGATCATTGTAAGATATAGGTGTTGAAGAATGCAACTTGTCGTGATGGTCGTGCTGTATCTGTCGACGTGAATCCTTTGGATAGGATTAGGGTTGAGTTTCTACTAATAAGTTGCATTCGTGTCTGTTTATTTTTTTTAAAGGTGTTTATATTTGATTCGTGTTCGTGTTTATTTATTAATTTTTAAAAATTTTTGTGTTCAGTTTGTTTAGTTTCGTATTTGTTTATTAATGTTTAGAAAATGGTGAAATTACCCCACTAGTTCTTAAGTTTTTTAGACTTCATAATTTGAACTCTAAAGTTTACTATGTGTTCAATTTAATCATATCTTAATCAATATTTAAAATGTAGAAAAAGAAAAAGAAAAGGAGAACCAGATAAACGAACTTGTTCGTGAAATAAATAAACTGAACACACTTATGTTCATGTCTGTTCATTCATTAAATGGACAAAAAATTTTTGTTTATAATTAATTATTTAACTGAATAAACGAACATAAACTAATGTGATATAAACGATTCACATATAACTAACTGAACACTCTACTCATTTACAAAGCCTAGATAAGATTAGTTGTTAGCCGTGAGTTGAGCAAGCTACTGCTTGTAGTTTTCTTTGTTTAATGAGTTATCTCGTTCAAAGAAACTACCTCATGCATACTTGGCATACGGATACTATTCAGATTCACATCAAATGCGCATACTTTAATACATTTCATTAATTTTAAAATTAATACAATAAAACAAATTTATCTCAAATAATACTAATACATTTCATTAGTTTATAAGAAAAATAACCCAAATCCCAGATTTAATTCTTTAGACCTCATATTAGCATAATTATTAGTAAGATTGTCGGTACATACATATAAACAAAGAATCTGCAATAAGATTAGGGTTTTGATGGCTATCATTTCATGAAAGCGAAAATAAACCCAAATCAGAAAAGGAAAGGGAGATTGGTCCACTCTTATTATACCATTTGTAATTTATATTTATACTGCTTGAAAACTTTGATGAGCTCGATGATCAGATGATGAAGGGATCCAGTGGCTAATCTGCGACGTGATTGGCAACTTGGAAAATGAGAGAGAAAAAGTGGTCCTCGAACCCTGAATGTGACTGCAGCTGCTGGTTTAATTAGATTTCCTTCCAATATATTATATATATACACATAAAATTCTGTATTTGCCTTCAACATCTATCGGATATTTCATTTAAAGAACAGAAAGTTTTCTGGTTTTTGTATGCATGAATTCCCCTGCTGCTTGCAAAAGCTAGGGTTCCAAGAAGTTGCAGAATGTTAAAAACTGAACAAATAAACCCTAAATGAATTCATTTTCACATTGAAAATCCATTTATATATTGACAACCGAACCAAGGCAATTGAGGTATGCTTTGATTAAACATAATACCATCAATTTTAATTATGAATTATTGACTTAATATTTGCTTGATTGACCCAGGTGACAAGAGAAAAAAATTAATTGATGTTAAAGGGGCATCAACTCAAATGTCAAAACAAATTTTTAAAGAAATAAAATTTAATTTAAAATAAGAAAAACTCAAGTTGCCGACATGATAAACCTAATAATTAAATTTTAAATCAAAATTGTTGATTTTATTACATTTTAAAAAAGTGATCAATTTTAGATTTTAACTAATAATGTTTTCTTATGATCAATTAAAATCCAAAAGCTATAGTCTCGTTTTTGTTTTCCCATTCTAATAATAAGGCAAATGTTTCTATATCTAATATTAAATATTAAATATATTATTAATGAAATATTTACTGTGTTTTGAAGTGAATATTCAATTAAGTCCAACGATTTTTTTTATTTAGTCGAGTTATGAAATTATTTTATTATTCAAATTTATTTAAAGTGTTTTCGAGTAAAATTAAATTAAATATATTTGTTCTAGTATATGTTTAATTTTTTTTAAATTTTTTTATAAAGTTATAGTAATGACTGTTTCCAATTTAAATTATGGATAAATTACACATTTAATATTTAAATTATTAGTTTTGTTTCGTTTTAGTACTTAAACTTTCATTTGTTTTAAAATCATACCTAAGATTTACTTTTTGTTTCACATTTAGTACTTAAATTATTAGTTTGTTTCGTTTTAGTACTTAAACTTTCATTTCTTTTAAAATCATACCTAAGATTTATTTTTTGTTTCATTTTGGTACATCGTCGTTAAAAACTTAGCGGAACTTATACAACTGACATTTTTTATGGTAATAATAGCATTCATCACTCAACTATCTTCTCAATCCTATTTTGGTCACTGGAGTTATTTTTTTAATTTAATTACTTAATTTTCAAATTACTCCTAATTTAATCACTCTAACTTTCAAATTTAATTTTTTATTTCAATTATATTAATAAAAAATAATAAAAAATTATGTCACAAAAATTATTAATAAAATAAATTAGAGTGATTAAAACATGAGCAATTTGAAAGTTGAGTAGTTAAATTTAAAATTTTAAACTTTAGTGACCAAATAGGATTGAGAAGATAATAAGTGATGAATAATGTAATTTACTCATGAAAAATGATACATGCAGTAGTTGCGTTAAGTTTTTAATGGCGGTATACTAAAATGAAACAAAAGTAAACGCCATGTATATGATTTGAAACAAATGAAAGTTTAGGTATAAAATGAAACAAAACTGATAGTTTAAATGCTAAACATGTAGTTTACCCTTAAATTATTCTCACTAACCATATATATATATATTCATATTTTTCATACGTGTAACTAAGATTTATAATTTTATTTAATAGATTAAATATCTTTTAAATTCATATAATATTAATTTTTAGAAAAATATTTAAATGACAAAGTGTCTATGTGAATATAAAGGAATTAAGGAATTAATGGGAAAATAAAATAACACATAATTATAATTAGAGGATCAAATTAAAAAATATAAAGTTGAAGGACCGGATAGTAACTTATCATTATTTGATAATTTTGAATATGTTACAGTTATATATTATAAATACAATATAAACTTAATAAATTTCATATAAAATAAATTATAGCATACTAAATAAAAAGATAAAATATGTAAATAGTCTTTCGATTATATAATATTTTATTATTGAGTCATTTGACTATAAAAATATTATAAAATAGTTGTTGATTTCAAAATATAACAAATTAATTTTTTATCCATTCACGATGATGAGGTGACATTCAATAAAATTGACATAACAATATATTTAACTCTGGATTTTTACATTTTGTTTTCATTTGGTCTTACTTTCAAAAAATTAATCTAACATTTCATAATTAAGGGACTCAAAAAAATATTTTATAATCAAGAGAATATTTATTTATTTTATTTTTTATTTAATATATTACTATTTATGTCGTATGAAATTTGATAAATTTACATCGTATTTAGTTGTACTATTAAGGGGCTGTTTGTTTACTTCAGAATGAATAAGCGCTGAATGATTAAAATTGTGAATGATTCAGATGCTCTGTATGAATTAGTTCTGAATGTGACATGTTGTTTGATAATGGCTCTGAATCATTCAGAATGTACTTATGTGCTGAATCATTCAACACTGTTTTGCTGAATCAGTCAGCACTGAATCATTCAGCACGGTTCAACATTTAGCGCTGAATGGTTCCATTAAGAGGCAAACAAACAGCCCCTAAGACTGGAAAGAGTTGGGCCATGGGCCTTCAAGAGCATGTGCTCAAGAATGTTTTACAAATTTTTGAACAGAGTTTCGATTGGTTTATAGTCGATATTAAAGGCATAATTAGCTGAGGGAAGAGCTCCACTTGCATGTGCAGTATATGTAAAGAAGAAGTATTTGGTTCAAGCCATTTGCATTATGTTGACTATTAAGCTTCAAATACAACTATGTGGCATGTGGGAGGATAATATTCCGTTGGTATTTGGTAATGTTGAGGTTTTGAAATTCTTAAAATTCTAAGTTCAAGTATAATTATATAAAAATTTTAATTAGTTTAAATTAACTATCCATAATGCATATATACAAATTTAAATAACATAAATAAATTGTTTATCGATTAATTCTAAAAATGTCTAAAAGATATCAAAGATAATAATGTACATAAAGGATAAAATCTTTTATATATAAACTTAAACACGTACACACTCATATACTATATAGATCATAAAATTAATACGAAAGATTAAAAAATAACCAATTATTAGTTGATATAGATGAGGTTTCGGTATCCTTAGATAAGGTCATAATTTTAAATTTCAATTTTTTATTAAATCTTAATAAAAAGATAATTATCTCTTTGTTATACATAATCTTATTAATTTATTAAAAGATTAGAATAATAATATTATTTTAAAAAACTTAATTGGATATAAATAAAAGTAAAAAACCATTGGGTGATTAATTTTTTTTAAAAGAAATCCCAATTAACAAAGGAAGAAATAAAACATGGTGCTTCTTCGCGTCGGAAAGTATATCTTTTCCATTTGCATCTTCATTCATGCGCGTGGGTCCCACATACCCGCCTCGCCCACTCCCTCTCCCCAGGTTATATATCAACCTCCCGTAACTATTTTCGGTTGACGACGATTTTTTTAAAACTTATCTTATTTCTATCCCCGCCCCCAGTTTCTCTGACTCGCGCGTGCTTCTCATTCTCCAACTTTCCATTTTCCTTTTCTGTTGGATGACGGGACTAAGAAACTAGCCAAAAAAAACCCTAGCGCTCTCTCACTCTCTCCTTCGTTCCTTTATCTCATGGTTTCTCTAAGTTTCTTTTAGATTTCATTTTGATGCTTTGAATTGTTTGATTTCAGTATGGAAGATAAAGAGGGGCTTGATCCAGCTGGGACTGAATTTAAATCCGATTCAACCACGAGCTCTACAGTTGCTGGACCTGACTCGGTCTCGGATAGCGTCAATTACTTCTTCGATAGGGAAAGCAGTATACTGAATGAGTTCAGTTGGAATATTTTACAACCGGACCACGCCGATGAGTTCGGAAGGTTTAGTGAAGTAGACCGGACGGCCACCAGGCCTGATTTGGCGGGAAATTTTAGTGGCTCATCGAAGAGCTGTGGTGCAGCTGGTGGTTCATGTTCAGGGACGGCGTCGAATCCGGGCAGGTCAGCTGAAATGCTGACACCGAATCCGTCTGTGACTTCGAGCTCCAGCGAGGATCCGCTGGAGAAATCAACGGATATCGGCGGGAAACAGCCTGAGATACCGTGAGTATTTGTGAACCAACAATGAAAAAGAAAAATAACTTTTATCCTTTAGCATTTTTTGGGTGTTATTTCGTGGAACTGAGTCGTAATTAATTCCAATTTCTGTGGGAAAAAGCAACGGGTGGCAATAAAAGCCATGGCATCGGAAAGGCATGCTTAAATCAGAGAGAATCTCTGAGTATGAGAAGGTGCAATTTTTGGTGTCCGTACACTGAAACTGTAAAAAGAAGATAACAACCTTGTTGTTTCATGCAAGTTGGGGAGGAAAGGCTTTAGGTAGTTTCGTAATTTTGAGAAATAATAGGTCCAATTAAGTCAAATTGAAGGCCAAAATTAAAAGTTACTTTTTGGCTATTAACGAAGTGGCCGTCTTCACCGCCGTTATTGCGGAGGAAATGGCGTGCTTTGCTTTCAGATTTTTTGTTTTAATGAAGTCAAAAAGCGGGAATATAGCTTCTGCGAAATTCCCCTTTCGGTAACAAAATCATAGATACTGCAAATTAGAATAATTTAGGACCATCTTCCATTAGTTTTTTATAAAGAGTGTCAGTTGTTCTACATTCATCCCCCCCGGTAGAAGGAAAATATATAGGGTTGTAGTGCTACTTCTGAGGTGGATTTTCATTGTTTATGAATTGGGAAATGCATTTTATGGTTTCACTTACTGGCTTTTGAAATGCATTCGTGGAATTTTTTTAAAGAGAGAAACTATACCTCTATATATATGAACATTTAGTAGCATTTAAGATTCATAAAATGTTCTTTGCTATAAAAGGGAATTTGATCAGACATCTCACTAAATCATGGATTTCTTCCATATTAGTTGGAAACTTGATTTTCATCACATTGCAGTATATATATGAAGTATATGATTCACGTATTTTGTACATTACATTGAATATATCTACCTTAGTAATTGCAAGTTTCTTATGTTCAGTTTTTAATCTCTTTCCATTGAATACCTTGAAATTGCATACATTGGCCCCGGACATTTTGGTTATAGTTTCCATTTATCTCTTCTTAAAAACTGAAACATATGCATTAACCTTCTTTTTAGCAAAATATTTAATGCTTAGGATTCTTTTTTCTCCTTCATGTTGATATATAGTTGTAGGTGGATTTTTTTTTGTAGGAGTAAGGTGAGGAAGAAAGGGCAAAAGCGAATTCGGCAGCCACGTTTTGCTTTCATGACCAAGAGTGAAGTTGACCATCTTGAAGACGGATACAGATGGCGGAAATATGGACAAAAAGCTGTTAAAAATAGTCCATTTCCTAGGTCTGTTGCTATTCCTCCATTATTCACCTTTTGAATTGATTCAGTGCATGCCATTTTTTCCTATTCAACAAAATAAACTTCAACTTGAAACATTGAAAACAATATTCATTTTCCAATATTCTAATGAATTTTCTTTTCGAAAGTTTGTGTTTTGATAAGTTTTAAACCTTCTTTGATATTTGTTATAGGAGGGAGATTCATCAGTTCATTGATAAAAAGATGCCCGAAATCAAAGGGTTGCAAACTAGAGTTAATGATACATTCAAAAAAGTTATATAGATTATTAATCCAGTAGGTCATAGCATGAGATTCCCTCAGTTCATGTCTATATGATTGATAAGAAGTGTCTATGGTATATGAAGAATTTCTTAGAATGTTAGGTCCACTATCCTTTTTATTATTAATTTGACTAATCCTATTTTTCTAGTACCGCATAAATAATTTCCTTATTCGGTCATATTTTATGTGAGAATATGCAACGTATGCATGCATTTTCTAAAGTGAGGTCAAATTTATGAAGCACATGTAGAGTTGCAAAAAGCCTTGATAGGCTCCTTAAGTTTTGGGTAGTGAAATTATGACTTCATGTTTAAAATCATTCATTAATGGAAGTAAAACTTTTCAGAATCTTTGTGCAAAACCTGAGCAACTTAGTTAATTTCACAGGAGCTACTATCGCTGCACAAATAGCCAATGTACAGTGAAGAAGAGGGTAGAACGATCCTCTGAAGATCCCACCATTGTCATTACTACATATGAAGGTCAACACTGTCATCATAGTGTCGGATTCCCCCGTGGTGGACTCATCATCCATGAAGTTGCCTTTGCTCGTCAATTTACTCCTACAAGCTCTCAATTTTATCATCCACATGGGATACAGTTACATAGGGAAATCTCTTCAAGCACGACACGGCCACACCAAGTACCTATTGAAGTAGGAGAATCTCGTGAGCTTCCAGAATCCACCTCACAGTTCCCCAAAGATGAAGGGTTACTTGGGGATATTGTGCCTCCTGGAATGCGTAACAGATGAGAAATAAATATGGTATGCATATCTTCCTTGAACCAAGTTTGTACGCTCTCAGACTGCCATACAATAGCTCTTTGACACACTTAGTCTGCCTGAAGAATTTCTTGTGTGTTTGTTCTATTTTCTATGTTTGCTTCTTGTATGTTGACTATTGAGCGTAGGAGGTTGAAAGAGAGGACTATAGTATCAAAAGTTTTTTTTTTCGACTCAAAGAGGAATTAGTTTATAGTTTTTGTTAAGTTATAACTTGATGAACGGTAGCATAACCCTGGTCTGATGTTCTATCTTCTATGGCCTGACCCGGGAAGAACCTCTAGGATTGAACTGTTGTAAGTACCGTTTCCAAGTCAATAAAATTACAGTCTGACTGAGCCAAAAAAAGGTAGGAGATGACGATTGGCTGAAACACCGAGCATTTTACTATTTAGGGCTTCAATTTAGTTATTGATAAGATTCAGCCTCCTATTGGCCACAAGGCCTTCACAAGACTACATAGCTACTTAGTTAGTACGTAGCTAATGGACCACTGTGTTTAATATTTGGCTATTTAACCCCACAAGGATGAGATATAGAAACCCCTTTTGACATTTTTTTGACCAGTCCTAATCTATCTTGGAACGATTAATTGTATTGTAGCACTAACCGACTGCGACCTTTAACATTGATGGATATACATATACTGTGATATACGTACAATGATATGGTAGATACGGTCACGGTCATCTTTGTAATTTATTTGTTCCCTGGCAGCAATACACATCATAAGGTTCATAGTTTCATTGGTTACTTAGTTTTTCTGGACTGCTCTATTATATCTTGATGATGCCAGCTTTATTAAGCTTAATCAAGGATCCTAAAAGGCCTATCTAGTCATTATATATATGCGTCGGCAAGAGATTTTATGAAGTCTTAGCTTTTTTTATGTGGTTTAGATTGTTTTAAGAAATTAGAGAAGTTAAAAAATATTCAAAGGCTGCTTGAGTTTTGAGTTAGAATTTGGTTCCAAATATTTTTTAGTCATCTTATAGATTAATCTACTGTGGTGTGATATAAAGATGTCTTGTATTTTATACAATGATACCTTGATTCTGGGTTTTTCTGGATTGCACCAATGTTCTATCTGGAAAGGGAGGACCTTTTATATATATAACATTACTATCATCATGATTATGCTGATAAATCATTATAGGTGGAAATAGAACAATTCTCTTTTTTCTATTTGTGATAGAAAAGTTTAGGTAAGGCTACTCTAGTCCAGAATCAGAACATATTATCATCTTCATAAAAGATTAAAAGTACTAATAAATTACTCACCAAATAGATTACTAGTGAGACTCAAGCTCTAATGTTTACTAAAAATGCTAATGAATGTTCAACCTACAAAACCTAATAGATTATTAACAGTGGCAGACCTTAGTGGAGATAATTTTTTGGAGGTCTTATCAATTTTTTTTTAAAAAATTGAGGGATTTAATAAGATTTTTCTAAAAAAGTTGAGAATGTGATTAAAATTTTCAGAAAAAATAGAACTCTAAGTTCTAATTTGATAGAATTTAATTGAAAACATTCAAAAATAAAATAAGATTTAACAAGATTTTTTAAAAATATTGAGAGGGTGATCTAGTAAAAGTTTTAAAAAGATTTTGAGGAATATAATGTAAATTTTTAAACTTTGGGGCAAGGCCCCTCTGATTGATACAATCCGCCCCTTATTATTGATGAGACTTTAACTCTAATGTTAGTTGGTAAGAATGTTAGTGTGTGTTGAACAAATAATAGAATAACTTCTGGTTCATACCATTTGGGAGAAAATAAGAAACACGTGTCTGTTTACCAGATCTACGAGAAAAGGGGAAAAAGCAGAAAGACAAAAAGCGAGATTAGGTCTTTGTTCCCCACTTGTGGAGGTGATGAAAAGATGAAGAAAAAGCAAAATGATTACTTTTTTTTTCCAGACACGTCAAGGGATATATGAAAATCTGGTTGGAGTTGAACTTTGAAGCGTGCCTGTCGGTTTTGGAACAAAGCATAAAAAATGGAGAACATTAATCCAATCCATATAGTAATATGTTATAAGAATTTAGCAGTATATAGCTAGCTGCAGTTCATTTATTCATTTAACACTAACCCTTTTCTTAGGTTTTTTTTTCTTTTCAAATACAGACTATATCCACTGATTTGGTAGATGAACTGAAGGTCACTGATCTTGCCCTAAAGATCAGTTCAAGAGTCTGCCAAGTGCCAAACCAAGGCAATTCTTTGTTTGCTTCATGATAAAAGTGCGTGAGTCCTTTACCAGAACATACAATTCCTTTCCTTATAGTATTTTGCTAATATGATGAGTTCATTCTCGTAATGAGCAGATTTATCTAACCTAAGCTCTTCGAATCTAATACATACATGGGAATAAATGTATATATAAATCTAATATTTGATGCTTATGCACGCGGATATATATTGAATTTCCTGTTTATTATTAGGTTTAAGTGCCTGAGGTTAGGTACAGCAGTTCATGGTATCTTTTAGCTCTAATACTAGTTTAGAGCCACTAGTTTCTAACTTGCCCCTCTGTGTACATTGATAACCAATAATTTGTTCTAAAAAGAGAGTTTAATAATAATTAATCTTAAGCTTAATGAGGAAATATTAAAACCATGAGTGTATATATATAGGTTTTGTGTGTGTATATATTGGATCTGTTGTGCTGTAATCGAATTAACTTGGGTCTCGTCATGGTTTCGTACGTGACCGTGAAATGCAGAAATCTATAAATAGTAATAAATAAATGTTAATAATTGGGCGCCACTTCTTTCTACTTTTTTGTTTAACGGGCGCCACTTGTTTTTAATGGTTCAGATGCGTGAATTTCAATGTTGCTTCAGAGTTAGGCAGTTAGCCGACATTGCTTTTAAACCTCTCCTCGCCTCCCCCTACTTTTTCTTTTATTTTAAACCTTTTTCAAAATTCTCCCTTTTAATTAAAACTTTTACTTTTGGCTTTTTCTCCTTCATTCACGTTGTTCAATAGTTATATAGGGACGGATAATTTTATGTAAGTGATGAATTTATAAAATTTTAAGTATAAAATAATTTATAAAATTTAAAGGGGTAAAAATATATTTTAATAGAAAATATTTAAAATATAAATGAATTTAAAATTTTTAGGAGATGATTGTTCTTATCTGTCTTCTTCTAGGTTCATCTCTAATTATATAGAATTCGATCAAATTTTAAGTTAATAGTTTTTTATCCTATTTTAAGTTTAATGCTGTTTTTTATATATTTATAAAATTTGAACTTAAGATTTAGACATAGAGGTTATAGAGGATAATATCATAATAGATAGGGTAAGATAAATCGAAATTTTGTCTCTCACAATCTTTATGTGATATAGGGACCGTTTGAGAATGCTTATAGAATACTTTTGGTTTAAAAATTTGTTTGAAATGCCAAAGCAATCTCAAACATCTCATTTTCAGTAAAGAAAAAAAAAATCATATTCAAACGAGCTTATTGACTCAACCAAAAAAAAATATGAAAAAACGGTACTTTTATGTTGGAGAAGCATTCCCAAACGAAGCGATAGTGTACTTATAATTCATCTCAAATTCGATATAGTTTGATTTGGTTCACTTTAAAATTTTATATATAGTATATAAAAAAATTAGAAGAAAAAATATTGGGACATGTGGATTTCGTTTAAACGTAACCGCGACTTCTACCCTATCTTAAAAATCAAACAAACACCCCAAAACTTGATTTTAAAAAATTTACTCTAGCAAATAAGATCAAATTGAAACTTATTGATTTCAATTCCTTTTTATCGTTCCTAAAAAAATCAAGCTTATTGTCAAATATTTAATCTATTTGTTTTTAATTTCAATTAAGTTCATTTATTTATTTGATTTATAAATTGAAGTACAATTAATAATATCGTTATTGAATATTTAAATTTAACTATAGTTATTAAACAATGTTAACAATTGGAGTTTAATTATTAAACAAATCGAAAACACTAAATTTAGAAAACACAACAACTACAAAGATTAAGAACATAATTAGACCTAAATAGAATTTTCACTGAGGAGCCGATTACCGTACAATTAATTCCGGTTTGGCGGTGGCAGAAGAAGTAGAACTGGTGACTTTTCTCATATCCTCGGCGATCTTTTTATAATGGGTAAACTACACAAATGATCATTAATGTTTAAATAAATTTTACTTTCTCCACTAAAATTTTAAAGTAATAAATTGTTCACTAACATTATCAATTTATAATAAATTGGTCACTTACGGTTAACAATCGTTACTGTAATAATAGAATATTGATATGACACGTTAAACAAATTGACTTAGCATGTTTGACTATGAGGGATACCTTTTGATCGACCGTTTGACTTAATTTGTGCTTGTGCAATCTTTGACATGTATTGCGTATGTTTATTCTTTTCAGGAAAAAATGTACAACAGATACAAATTAGGAGTCGAGGGTGCTAAAGTTTTGGAATTTAAGGGGATGTGGTGGAAGTGATTGGGGAAATTTTGGGTTAACTAGATTTGAAGTTGACCCGAATTTAGATCGATTTTTTTTGAGCTTCGATTGAACTAAGTTTAGAATTTGATTTAAATTGGTTGGATGGTTTTGGGATTGAAACTAATAGACCCAATTGAATTTAGTGTGGGCCGAATGAATTTCGGTGGTCACATATACAACAAATTTTTATGAGATGATATAATAAACATTTTGAGCCCAATTTGGATTTTCTACCATTTCATAGTGGAGTCTTGTGTGATCGGCCCGAATGCCACTCCATCACCATAATTCAGCTTTAAAAGGGCAACAAAATTAAAGCCCATTCGAGTAACAAACAAATCAATGAATGTCTTTCTCAAGTAGACGCAATCAAAGGACAAGAGAATATAATAAATGAACAACGAAACAAAAGGGACATGGCGTGCTGTAATAATTATATAATAAACATAAACAAGTATACCACTCTGTCAAATTAAATGGCAAAAAATGTACACAAACACACACTAAGTAATGAGATTGGGATTATTTTGTTTATTACTACTTTCACGATACAACCGTATCCCATAGCCTATGTTAGTTGAATTCAAATGTCGATATTTAATAATTTTTTTGAATCTTCAAACTATTATTAGTTTTTATTAATCTAAAGTGATTACAAATAGTATATGTTCTACAGATTCTCAACCATTTGACAATGAAAACTCAAATACTTTGCAGTATCAAATATTTGAACTGAAACCTCTAGGGGGACAATAACCATTTATTTGATCACTTGGTTCGTGCCCAACTATAATTCTTAAAACCACTCCATGTACCTTCCAATGTTTCAATGCCATCTCCATAGGTCAAAGAGGGTAATATTTTAATTTCACAAAACTGAACTAAGCTTTACCTACTTTACAAGCTTGGTATGGGGGTTGACCTAAATTCTTGAACTATATGTTCAATGGGAGAGAACAATGTGATAAACAAAGGTCACTTAAAACTTTTTTAAAACTTTCTGTGTCCCGAAATTCCAACTATATTCAAATTCGAGCCAAATCGAATCGCTGAGCGATAGATAAAACTCTTCCAGCACTTTTTTTACACAAAAAAATGTAACTTTTTATTACTTGACTCGGCACATAAGCTTGCAGACAAACTTACCTTTGTTAGCGACAAAAGGAGAGCATTAAGAATGATGAGGGGCATGAAATGTACCTTATAGCTGAAGGATAAAAAAAAGAAGTAAAATTTGTTCGTTTTATACACTGCAAATTGCATCATCTTCACCATGAGATGGAAGGTTAAGGTCAATTAGAGCTGGAAATGGCATCTCTGGTGAGTCTTGTTTGATGACCAATGTTGTGTCCTCTGGATCTCCAACAAAATGTGACCTTTTGTGACCTCCCAAAGCTTGGCCTGACTTGAAAACCCTGAAACAGAAAGGGCACTCATGCCCTTTCTTCCTCTTTGACCCTAACTTCTTCTCAGAATTGCCATTTGATGAACATTTGAATTTATTCACATCTTCAGCTCCAGATCTAGACTTCACTTTCTTGGGTCCAGACTCACCAGATTTCAGCTTGGTTTCCCTTTGTTTCTTAATAGATGATTTAGCCTCCAAAATAACTGAGTTGTTATCTGAAGAATCTGCAACTGAGTTCAACCCTTTGTTACAACCAGAAGAATCCCTTGAAAGCATCATCAAACACACAGCAACCTCTTCTTGCTCTTGCTGATCTTCAATCCCAGACACAGATGATGAACCGTTTGGTATAGAAACTGAACTGATAGAAGTTTTGCACCTTATTCTTTTAGATCTCCTCCTCCTACTTGTTGATGTTTCAGTGTCTGATTGATTATCCCAATGATCCTCAAATCTCTGGAAGATCCTTTCTTTCTCAGAGTGATAAGCCATGTGACCACAGAGTGCTTTCATTGACTGGAAACCCTTACCACATTCTTTGCAAATCATCTCTCTGAGCAAAGTGCCATTGCCTGATTCATCAGAAAATCTCTTGCTTTTCTTGAGGTTTCCCCTCAGATCATAAGTTGCATTAGTGGTGGAAACAAACTTGTTTATGGAGATTTCAGCTCTTCCCTCTGCTTCAGCACGATTCTCATTGTTCATATGAGTCCTTATGTGACCCCCTAAGGACTTACCGCTAGGGTAGCCTTTGTTGCAATACTTGCAAACAAACTTCTTCCCTTGATTTTGTTCCATTAGAGAATGATCACTGGGAAACTGAAAATACCCAGTAAACAGTGACGCATTCCTTATCTCAAATCTTCAAAAAGATTGCATTTTTTTCAACGATCTTTGTTGTCGCCATGAACAAAGAATCAAATTTAAGATCAAGGAGCAGAGGAAAAGAAGAAAAAGGAAAACAGATCGCAAAGTTGCTTGTTTGGTTTCAGTGGAGAAGATGATGATGATCAAAACGAGAATTAGCAGCTGAGATGTGACAGTTCTCCGTTTCAAGTACAACAAAAGAGATCCGACCCACAGAAAAAAAAACAATCCTTAAAATCTCATTTTTCTCTCATCCCAAACACGTTATTCCAATGAAACCAAAAACAAAATCCTTCTGAATCTGAAAAATCGAACTTTTAAAGGCGATGGGTCGCTAATGAAGGCGATGAGCAGGCTTATAAGAAGAAGAACAAAGAAGAAATAAACCCATGACTGTCATTTCCTCTCTCTGTGTATACCCTTTGTTTTTGTATTGTATTTGGAGGAGAATTCCATGCATGTAAGCAAAGAGATTAGGAGGGCAAAAAAAAAAAAGATAGACAACACGTGTATTCAAGTGGGAACCATCCGGTGATAGGAATTGAACGGTCGAGATTTGTTTTAAGGGTCCCCGACGAGTGAGGAGTTCTGTTGCAACATCCAAACAATGCCTTCGCTTTTGTCTTGCTTGTAAAGCTCACACAAGTGTAGGGGTAGAATCTCCAATTCGTCATACCTTTGCCTCCACTAAAAGATATCGGTTCCTGTATATAAATGCCAATATGTCAAATTGTGCTTGGCCCCCATTTTCTTTGTTTTCTCGATTATATTCAGAGTTAAATCGAATCGTTTTTTAAATGATCAATAAATTTCTTACTACTGAACTCGATAGTCATCCTTTTATTATGTTGATCCAAGTTATGTATACAAAAAGAAAGTTGATAATCCAAATCGGTGCCAAATCTCACCAAACCCTACAACACACAAAATGTTTTGGTCCACTTGAAGAATTCAGGCTGTAATTTCTCTGTCAAGGGCCCTCTTACATATTGTTCTTATAATGGAAATGTGAAGTTTCACCATGTTTGTGGTACAATGCAATTCACTTTGACTTGATTTTTCAGAATGCACTTTGGTCATAGGAAGTACTTTGATCCTATATCGGAAAACTTTTATGAGAAGTTATTCCAAATATGTCATGACCCGTTCGTTTATTAAGTTAAATAAATAAGTATGAATAAAATCATGTTTATTTAATAAAAGAATTAGCATGAATAAAGGTGTGTTCAGTTCATTTGTGTTCACGAATAAACTTGTTTAAAAACTCGTTTATTCGGTTCTTCTTTTCATTTTTTTATATTGTTCAGTTCGTTTGTGTTCACGAATAAACTTGTTTAAAAACTTGTTTATTCGGTTCTTCTTTTCATTTTTTTATATTTTAAATATTAGTGAATGTAAGAACTAAATTAAATAGATGAAAAATTTTTGGAGTTCAATTTGTAAAACCTAAGGAGTTCAAGAATTAATGGAAAACTTTAATCAACATGAACATGTTTACAAACTCTACACGAACATGTTAACAAACATTTACACTAACATATTTGTGAATATTGAACGAATGAATATGAATACAAACACCTTAAAAAATAAAGAAATGAACAAAATACAAAAAATTTAAATGAATACAAGCAAACATAAATACCTTCAAAAATAAATAACCAAACACAAATATAATTTTATTTAAAATTTACATCCTACCACAGACCTCATAGAAGGATGAAAGTGGTACTTACATATCATCGCTAAATGAGAGACCGACGGAACTCAAACCATAATATCAATAGATTGTCTTTGTATTCAAGATGACACCGCCTAACTTTCTTGTTTTCCTACTAAAAATTTGGACGTGCTTAGTTGACTCAATGCAATCCCATTTAGCACGCAATGTTAATATAGAGATAAAAGAATAAAACAAATCATAGATATAAAATTTGGTTGAATTCATCGATGAAATAGAAAGGTATTTTATGGTAGCTATCACCAGCCTTGTATAGTCAAATATCATATACAAAATCAAAAAGGATCCCATTAACAGCACTTGCTGAAGCAAAATACATTTGGTAGACGACTTTACAGGGGAAAAAATGTTTAAGAACCAAAACCTTGGCCTTATCTATTGAGAAGATTCTGGACAATTCAAGAGCAAACCATCTGTTTCTTTTATCTCGTGTCTTGTCCGAAAATCTCTTCAATTATGTTGCAAGTCGGCTGGAGATCGATGCCTTTTTTCGAAGATGTAGAATACCTAGTGTCCCAGATTTTGGCACCACATGTATCCAATAAATAAATATTGTTCAGCAGCTCACTAGACTCACCTTGTTTACCTTGCTGCAAAGACTTGCTAAGGTCCGTCTTCGTTCTACTAACATGCAAGTTAGCCTTTGTGTCAATCAGATTATGAGCGTCAACCATGTTTGGCTGAAACTCGAAAGACATACATGAGTCATCTTGTACATTGATATCCTCCATTATTCCAAAACCCTTGTCCGTTTGTTGGAAAACAGGACCGAACCTGCTAGCATCAAATGACTTCGTAACATGTCCTCTGAACGAAAGGTTTGTACCATAATCCTCTCTTATTGCAGCCCTGCTGTAATATCCGGCACCATTATAACCATAGGAGTTGTCACTATTATCATCCTCATTGTTATTGTCTTCCTGATCAGCAAGGGATTCAATAGCAGAGTCTTCATCTTCTTCTATAGCTTGAACTTCGTAAGACTGTTGATTTCCATAAAACTCATCGTCATCGCTGTCAATGTCCAGACTACTGGATCTGTTTTGAATAGCTCGCCTCTGAAGGATAAAGACATTGAAATAATAGCTGACAAGCTCTCTCTTGGATCGTGATGGGAAAACCACCGACAACTGCTTCCAAAATTTCTTACCCAATGATACAGGATTATTGTAAACAACCTCATGAAATATCTCTTCATCTTCTTCACTCCATTTATATGCTACATGCTCTCCCATGTTATAAAACCCCAGTTTCACAAATTTTTCATGCCCAAGGGATTCCCGTAATATTTTCCGTGCCTCCATAACATGCTGTTGCACACATCTTGAAGATCCCCTATCCAGGCAGCTACAATCAGTTCTGCCAGCAGCAACATTACCACTTATGTTAGCAGAGAAATTCGAGTCGGGCATTGGAATGATACATGTTCCCATCCTAATATCTTCACTGTTATTATCTACGATTTCTGAGACATCATTCCGAGCAAACTTATTATTCTTCATATGCCTACCCCATGATGGAACAGTGGCTTGATGATTTGGCCCAAGCGGAACTTGTTTTCGAGGAGACCGATCCAAGAGTAAATAATAGTTGTCCTCAACAGGAGAAAACATTCTTCGCTGGAAACCAAAGTCAAAGCATTCAGACGAAACAGGTGAAATTGCTGCTACACCAGTGCCTGTATCTTCCTCACTAGAAATGCTAGTGACCAAAGATATTGGAGCAGTAGTCTTGGAATCCTCCTCAGCAAAACGAGTATCATCCAGAGCATCAGTCTTAAATTCTTCATACCACTGGTGTTCACAAAATCCACTCTCGACTTCAACTGCATCACACAGGAAGGTCACATCAGTATTTAAACCATGCAGCATAATATGAACCATTCGCATAAGACAACAAATAACAGCCACCCTTTACCTGAAATATGAGGTTTTTGAGGACTATAACTATGGGGAATAGTATCGGCACACCGAGTCAGCTTGTCATTATAGACAGGTTGTCTCGGATTCTTGAAAGGAAGTTCTTGCAGCTCCTCATCTTCAAAAGGCAGTTTAAATCCCATTTAACACCTGTGGGACACAATTAATTATAAGAGAAAGTATAATAATAATTCAACGAGGGAAAAAGAAGAAGATGCAAATCACTAATGCAAGTCAGTAACACAACAACAAATGCACAGTGACACATAGTAAGACAAAAATACATCACTTTCAAGATTAAGCTTATGTAAAAGGACAATTGAACAGTAAACATTGACTGACATAACTAAGAAATTTTGATATAACAATGCTTGGAAGAACATTACTATCAATATTAATTAAAATGCACGTCATTTCATTCTACAAGCATAACTAAGATCAAAGGTATTTCACCAGTCAACAAAAAATTAGTCTTAATTTGGTACGCTGAGAAGGTTAGTAAACAATGTCATGAAAGCAAGAATTAAGACACTAAACACAGAAAATTGAATAAATTTAAATTATTTAAGTCAATTACCTCTAAATTGTCTTGAATTGGGAAACCTTCGGCTGTTAGAAATGACACTAAAAATGACAAGGATCAATTAATACCGCAGAAGCCTCAATTGAGATGAGAACAGCACTTACTTTTGTACTAAATTTGATTTCACCACGGAAAGACGCGTTTTCCCTAATTAATTTGACTACCTGGAAAATCCCCAATTTTTGTAAGAAAGCCCTAACCCTAAATTCCAATTTCGTTGAGAAAACAACAAAATCACGACAGAGAACTCCTCCAAAGAATCACGCCACAACTTAAAACACCGAAACCCTATAATAATTTCAGATGGAAACGAACTATAACATACGGAACAAATACAACTCCTAGAAGGAAAACGAATCGGGAAATTCGAACAAAATTAGACCAAACCAAAGGGAGAAATCAACATGAATAGACAATAAAACGAAAACCCATGAGAAACTGATGGGAGAAAGGGCTCAATCGAAGAGATTGAAGAACCCTAACCCTAGAAACACGTAAAATCAACAGCCGGGATAGAAAAGGAGATCGATCGAAAGGGAACAACGAGAATTGAACGGATATTTACGTGATTGATAGATTAGAGGAAGAAATTAGGAGAAAATCGGAGATCGATTTTCTGATTTAATTTGGGGATCGAGAAAGAGGCGCCAAACAGGGTGACAAGGAAGAAGGGAAGACACGGTTCGAGGGCTTTTCTTTAAGCAAAAAGCGGTCCGACTGATAAACCGGATTGGGCCAATCTAAAAAATATTTTAATGTCATAATATCTCATTGTCCCTGTATTATAGGTGTCTTTATAATTACAACTTTCAGAGAATGTAATTTTAAAAATATAAATTATGAAAATAATAGATTTTGTTTTATATTTTTAAAAAATCATTTTATCAGAAAATTACACTGAAATAACAGAAAAAACAAAATAATAATTCTGAGAATAAATGAAAACAAAATAATAATATGCAAAGATAACTAAGAAAAACAATAATACAATTAAGTAAAATGAAAATTAAGCTAAAGTGCAAGACTCATTAGATATTAAGTTTATTTTATAATAATTTGAACTTTCGGTTTTAAATTCAAATTTGAATATGAAATTGAAACCTTTCTTTATCAATTATTGAGTATATATATACCTTTGTATCACATCATTTATTTGTCCACGATACTTTATTATATATTTAATATAAAAATACTTTTAAGCACGAATCAATCGATTTTAATTATTAAATAATTGTTATTATTTTTAAAAATTTCGTGTAACACCCTCAATCCGTACCCGATCTGGATACGAGTCCGAGATGTCACATTGACTTTTTAAAATAATATTCTTACAAAATATCAATCATTTGAACTTATATTAAGAAATTATGATAAATACTATTAAATTATGCACCATTATAAAAATTTAAGGTACAAATACGTATTTATGAACAAAATTATATGGTATGAACAGTACTGTGAACAGTACCATGAACAGTACCATTACAAAACTCAATCGTATGACTTTTCAAAACCGATTAGAACATATCGGATTTAATCCTTTATTTACATGCCAACCACTTTTCTTATTACAAAATTCATACTATACATTTCTTTTCTGATCTGATTTTTGGAAAAGAGGAACTGACCTGTCTTACATAACTTTTATCAATCTTCCTCTTCTCGGAACCTACATGTGAAACAATCACACGCTAAGTCATAGACTTAGTGAAACATATAAACATATAATGGAAACTAATAAACATTTCATAAAGAAACATCATATAATTCATATCAAATGCATGAACATTTATTACGATCATATCATATAAAAACATATATCATTTCTGTAACTTATACCCTTATCAACACGTTTAACATTTCATATTTATTATCATTAATCCTTATAATTTAACAATCTTATACATAACATATCATGCATTAACCGAGCAATACACCATTATATAAATTCTGTGATCTATTTCATATAACAAATCACATATACATATCATAGTCAATATACTTATTAAATTTCTTTGTTAGCCCATGTACACTGTTGAGAACTTAAGGTATGTGACTACACTGAGGTTGTGCACAAATGCTGTCACCACAGCTCGTATAAATTGCACCGAAGTGCCACGTAGAATTTGCACCAAAGTGCCGCGTAGAAATGCACCGTAGTGCCATATAAGATTGTCCATAAGGACCACATATAAATTCCTTAAGAATCATATACATATACTAAGGATCAAGTAAGTGACTCAAAAGACCTCATACATGCTCCAAAGAATACATATATGTCCCGAAGGACCACGTAGAATTTGTCCCAAAGGACCGCGTAGACCCTCTACTCTTGGTATGCCAAATATACCTATAGCTCTCGTATCATATAACATGAGCATTATTCTTATGTTTCATATGTTCATGTACTCATGTCATTTCTCTTGTAATCACATATCACATGTGCATATAATCACGTAATTTACTTTCATGTCACTTTTCATATGAATTCATATTCATATGTCTCATAGCTCGTATCACTTTGCATGGATTCACATAAACATATATATCCTTTGATTCATGTCTTATTCTTATATCATCATATATATATTTCATCTATTTTCATCACTTAACCTCATATCATATAACATGTTTTATTCTCTTATGTTCATATGACATATAATGCATACAAATTATATTCACATATATGCCTCTACTCAAGAATTCATCTATCATACAAATCATGTCATCTCTTGTTCTCATATGCTTCACATGCATCACATATATCACATAGCACATATAAGCACATATCAGTTCATATAATCAAGTATACGTACATTTCATTTCATTCACATCCTTATAATCAATACTCCATACATTGTAACTATTGGAAATAGACTTATCACAAGTCCAATTCCTTATAATCCTAATGCACTCATAAGAATCATATCAATCATATAACATTTTAGGAGTCATTTCTTACCATAGTAACTCCGTCACTGGCTCATCACAAACCAATGTTTTTCGATAGCATAAGTACAATTAAATTGCACTCACCTTAGCCTTACTTTGATTCGATCCTAACTCTTTGATTGTTCCGGAACTTGTTTAGTCTCAATATCTACATAAACATAATTTTCAAAACCATTATCAAAAGCCTAAACCTTATAACTTGGTATTAATAACTTAGGCTAATTTAATGAACCAAAATTCCATTTTTCCTTTAGGGGTGTATCGATGCACTATGGGTGCATCGGTACACAAATAGCTTCAAAATTTCCATGCATCGATGCACCTTCAAAATTGTCTTAGTGCATCGGTACACACTCATAGTGCATCGATGCACCTGTCCAAAATAGGCTATTTTCACCCAAAATTAATCAATACTTCACCCATATTTTCATGTATAAAATCCTTATTATGCTACTAAACTCATCTATAACAACTTTAACTAGTTTTTATCATTCCAACACTTTATAATCTCTCATATTTCATCCAAATTCTTAAGGTTAAGAATCATACCAAAATTTTCTTGTTATTCAAACTTAATTCTAACACTTATAACTTCTTATTCTCATGGATGACAAGTCAAATTCATCTTCCAAATTCATTTAAACCTTCTTATTCAAAATTCCACCTAAAAACCAATTTCCTTTAATCTATCATAACTCCTTTATCTTTTGATTTTAAGATAACTTAAGTTTTCTTTAAGCGTAGTTATCATCTAATGATCAAACCCCAAGCTTTAAATCAACAAATTCGAAAACTTACCTTTGCAAGCTTGGGTCTCTCTTTCTCTCGTATGATGAAGAAGAAGAAGGAGATAAAGTGGAGAAAATATCCTTATCCTTATCCCCACATGCCTATATATCATTTTATTATAATTTTCAAGTCAAATGACCATTTTACCCTTTAATTCTTTTGATAATTAATAACAACTTTCAGGAAATATCTCCACATAAATCATTGAACTATTCAACTATTCTACTTTAATCACCAAATTCTAAAATTTTACAATTTGGTCACTAACCCGTAGTTTGGGATGTTACAAATTTCCCATCATTTTAAGAAAATTCGTCCTCGAATTTTCACTGCACCTCTTGATAAAAACATATCTTCTAATGATCTCATGTTACTTCCTTTATTTAATCTTTTCTTCATTTAATTCTTCAACTAATAATATTTTTCCATTAATCTATTGTCGCTTATCATATAAACAATAACCAGTAACCTCATTCATTTCTATCTTTTCTTTCCTTCGATTATGCAGTTTTCTTTGATTTATCTAAAATTCCATATAATATCACTCATCACGTAAATAGTAACTTCCAATCCTTACTACTCAATATTATGAATCAATTGATTTCCTACATTCTTCTTTAATTGCTTTACACCATAAACCAAATCTTTACTCATTTCTTAATTTTTGTCTATATTACAATACACAAAATCTTTTCATATAATCTCACGTACTTGTTCAAGGAATAATCACCCTTTTATAATAAAAGGTGATAACTTACTTCAATCCTTCAATTACCTTTTTCTTTTAGACATCTATATCATATCCCTTATCATATAGATAGTAACATCAATTCTTATTACTCAAAATCCCAAATCATTCACTTTCCTCATAAGTCTCTAATTACCAACTTTATTAAATTATTATTCATCTACATCTTAACTTCCTTAATATTTATGAATCATTCTTTATCTCTCTGTCCATGTCCACTTGACCAAGAAACATAACCTTAAATCCTCATTACAGATGATTAATACATACACTTTGCCAAAATCCAACAATTTTTCATATAGTCTTACGAACATTTTTTTTTATACTAAATCATACTTTATACGTCATCATAATCCTTGTCATACTTGAGCTTTTAAACTTTATCATGTAATTTCCTTAGTCCTTCATTCCTTCACAAATTCAAATCTCCTTACAACCTATGTCATATCTTTTTCTCAGACTCTCATACCCTTTTCATATCGCTTATACTTATTCCTGATTATTGATCTTCATCACATCTTCATAATTTTGATAATTCTCTTTATTTATACAGAACATTTTCCTTTACCATCTCTTGTACTGAAAACTTCTTCCTTAATCTTATACAAATACTTATTTCTTTGCCTACATCATATCTATATGATTATAATGCACCACCAAATCCAGATTCACATCATACTTGATTAACTCACTTTATCTTTTCTTCCAATCTTATAACTCTATCACCTTTACTCTTACAACTATTCAATCTAGGGCACAAACCCTAATCAATTAATCATCTATCCCTTTTCTAATCAAAATTATCTCAACAATAGTTTACTTAACTTATCAAACCACATTCATTCTCATGTATCATGAAATTTCCTTTGTTCACACTCAACCTTTCAACTTATTCTATCTTATAAAATAATCACCGATGTACCTGTTTCTTTAAACTCATTCTGAAACAATATTCACATTAATGAATCTTCCATTATTCCCATTATAATATTTGTTTATCATATTTTAGCTCAACCGCATAATAACTAAATTATTTCACCTAACTTTTCTACTTTAGAATAGTGGACTTCCTCTAACATTATCCAGTTGCACATTTAATTTTCTGAACGTATCCTTAACTTTTTAATTAGGGTACAACCCTTATCAACCTGATCATATACCTTCTTTTTCGTTGAAATTTTCCTCAACGGTATTTACTCAACTTTTCAAACTCATACTCTTACTCA